TGCTACAGTATGTGCTGTGTTCCACACCCATAGTCCCCCACCTCTGCCAACAAGGGAGGGGAGGTACTAGCTCATAATATCTTCCTTAATCTTGAATTATTTCCTACAAATCTTTCCATAATTTAATTCACCAAACATTCTTTAATGCCTACTTTGTGCAAGACCTGTGCCAGGCTCTGGAAATGCAAAGGCAAAATGGAACAGTTCCCTGCCTCGTGGGGAGGTGGATTGGGGAAGCCATCAGCACTAGATAGTTTGAAGAGGCAGGGAGCACTGAGGGGAGGAGGGAGGGACAGAGGGAACTGGGAAGGTTTCCTGGAGGAAGTAACATTACAGTTGACTCTGAAAGCAAGATAGGGATGAGATAGGAAGTGCTGTGGAGGCATGTGGGATGACTTGGGTAAAAACCCAGAGTCAGGAGAATGCACGTTCAGGGAACAGCCAGCAGGCCATTTTGGCTGGAATGCAGAGTTCACGAATAGGAATAATGTGAAATCAATCTGGCATGGTAGGTGGGAGCCAGACTGTGGAAGCCTTTAAATGTCAGGCTGTGGAGCTTGTTTTTTAGTGCTAGAGGCAATATATTTATTTATTTATTTCATATTTTTCTTTCTTTCTTTTTTTTTTTTCAACAGCAATAGCGAGAGGCAGTGTAGCACAGCAAATAGAGAGAGACAATCTCAAAATCAGGAAGACCTGGGTATAAGTTCTACATTTGATAAACATACTGGTTGTGTGACCCTGGTCAAATCACTGCCTCAATTTCCTCATCTGTAAAATGGAGATAATTATAGCACCCAATAACCCATGATGTTGTGAGGATCAAGTGAGATAATATTAGTAAAGTGCATTTCAAAACTTAAAAGCACTAGATAAATACTATTACTACTACTACTACAGGGGTAGCTAGGTGGCACATTGGATAGAGCACTGGCCTTAGAGTCAGGAGGAACTGAGTTCAAATCCAGTCTCTGACACTTGACACTTACTAGCTATGTGACCCTGGGCACTTAACCCTAGCCAAAAAACAATAACAACAACCACAACAACTACTACTACTACTACTACTACTACTACTACTACACCTACATCTCTCATCCTCTGTTTCCTCATTTGCAATAGGAGGATAATAGCAGCTACCTTATAGGGTTGATCTGAGATAATATTTGTTAAAGGGTCTTTGCAAATGTTAGTTGTTGTTATTACTGTAGTCCATAAAATTGCTGTATCACAATTTGTTCAGTCATTCCTTTGTTGTTTCCAGTTTCTCACTAATACAGATACACTGAGAAACTCTTATTAATTGTGGGTGTCGTGTAGTATCATAGGCTTATTGATCTAGAAACCTTAGAGAAAGTCCTGTCAAATCCCCTTATTTTACAGATGGGGAAACTGAGTCTTAGGGAAATTAAGTGACATGCCCAGGGTCAAAGAAGTAATGTCAGAGGCTGCATTGGAACCTCCATTCTCCCAACTCCAGAGTCAGTACTCTATCTGTAGAACCTCAGTTACTCTCTAGGTCATAGCCTTTCTGTAATTTTGCAGATAAATATTGAGGCAGTATCTCAGTTTGCCACTTGTTAATAATCACTTAACTAGTAAACATCAGAGTCAACATTTGAACCCAACACTTCCTGACTTCTAGTTCAGCGCTGGATTCGCTAAGTCACTGTCATTACAAATACATGTTGCCTTATTAGAAGTAATAATAATAATGTTCAAAATATCTTTGAAAAAGTAGTATTTTCTCTTTTTGGTTATGACATTCTTAGGCTACACATAATAATGGGATTATTAGTTTAAAAAGCACAGTTGGGTTTGTTTGTTTGTTTGTTTTATATGCTGTCAGATTGTTCTCCAAAAAGGTTCCATTGGCTTGAAACTCCACCAGCAATGTCCAAGGGGACCTGTTGCCATAGGTTTCTACCAGTATTAAGATTTATAGTTTTTGTTTATTTTTTCCATTGTGATGGATTTAAGGTATTAGGATAATGGGATTGAGAGCTTTATCAGACTTTATCTATAATATGGTTCAACACCCCACCCATCCTCCTGCCACCACTCCATTTTTATGAAGGGGAAAACTGAGTCCGGAGAAACACAAGTAATTTGTTCAAGGTCACACAGTAAGTCAGGATTCAAACCTGAGTCTTTAGAATCCAAATCCAGTGCTCTTTCCATAATACCCCACGATATACCTGGAGAGTGCTCTCAGAGTTGTTTTAATATGCATTTATTTCATTATGAAGGGGGTCATCCATTTTCCTAAGTGATCCTTTTGAATTTGTGTTTCCTCTTTTGTAAATTGCCAGTTCTTATCCTTTGACCACTTATCCATTGGGGACTGGGTGTTTCCCTTGAATAATATATTGAATTGTATCAATTCTTTATACATATTTCCATCTGTCCTATTTTCCACAAAGGTTTTCCCCCAATCTGGTTTTTTCTTTTTAACTTGGTCATACTGGGTTGGGTTATTATTTATTTTTTTTGGTTGTTTTTGTTCTACAGATTTTTAAAGCATTATGTAACCAAAGCCATCTACCTCATTCACTATAATTTCTTCTGTTCGTTCATTGTCCTTGGTTTTTGCCTATTTCCCAAGCGCTCCTGCTCAGCTCAGCCATCCCCAGGAGAATAATGAATTGCTCAAAGGGATGCAGATTTTTCTGTTTGAAGGTTTTGATTGAATTTTAGACTCAGTTCCCGAAGGCTGGCATTCCCATGGTGCTAATCAGTTTAGCAGGGCTGGGGGTGGGGGTGGGCTGGGCATGTGTGTATGTGTGTGTCTGTGTGTGGGGTGGGGGGGGTGGGGGGGAGATTAGAACAGTGAGTCTTGGCTCTAGCTGGGATCTCTGAGCTCCTTTAGTTGGTATAATCTAGGAGTTCTTAACTTTTTTTTGTATCACGGAGCCCTTAGGCAGTCTGGTGAAACTTCAGGTTTTTAAGTAATCGAAGGAAACGCCAAATTTCTGTTAGAGGTCATTGCAAATAAAGGGGTAATTTTTCTCCCCACCTAAATTTGTGGACCCCTTCAAATCTATTCATGGCCCACATTGGGGTTAAGAATGTGGTTAAGAAAGAACCATTAGTGTAATGGGAAAGGCCTTGGATTTGGGATAAGGACACCTGGATTGGAATCCTTGCTCTGATGCTTATTGACTTGTGTGTCCTTGGCCAAAGAACTTTCCCTCTCTGGACCTCAGTTTTTCCATCTGTAAAATGGGGATTGTAATTCCCTCACTGTCTACCTCAGTTATTTTTACTGTCATCAGTTCAGTGTCCTACCCAATGCCAGAAGTCCTTCAGCCTCCCTGATCAGCTTCTATTTGAATATCCATCCTGATCAGGAGTTCCCAAAGGGAGCCCATTCCACTGTTGAACAGCTTCCTTGTTGGAAGGAATCTAGCCTCTTTGGAAATTCCACCTGCTGGTTTTGGTTTTTTTACTCTCCCCTGAGGTCCTACCCTGCTTCCTTATTGTGGCCTGGAAGTGACCCAGGGTCTTCAAGGCTGTGCCAATTTGGGCAGGTCCTGCTGGGCTGGAAAGGCTTCCAGTATATGAGTAGCGAAAGGCTTTGCTCTCCAAGGATTGGCCTAATGAGGATCATCCCTAGGTTGATAGTAGGGTGAGGAATTTGTTATCCTAGCATTTTTCAAAGACCATTTGCTGAATTGTAGAGAGAGGAGGGAGTAAAAATGAATCTACTTCTTTACTTCAAACCCTGGTGACATTGGAATTCTGTCATGTTTTTTTTTTTTTTAAACCAATCTGGTGGGACTGAAGTGGTACCTCAGAATTGTTTTTTCCCCCACCTAGTAGTATTTTATTTTTTCCAATTACATGTAAAGATAGTTTTCAGCATTCACTTTTTTTACAAGATTTTGAGTTCCACATTTTTCCCCCTCCCCTCCTCCCCAAGATGACATGCAATCTGATATAGGTTATACATGAACAATCACGTTAAACCTATTTCCACATTAGTCATGTTGTGAAAGAAGAATCAGAACGAAAGAGAAAAACCATGAGAAAGGAAAAACAAAACAAAAAAAAAGGAGTAAATAGTATGTTTCAATCTGCATTCAGACTCCGTAGTTCTTTCTCTGGATGTGGATAGCATTTTCCATCGTGAGTCTTTTGGAATTGTCTTGGATCATTGTATTGCTGAGAAGAGCTAAGTCTATCAAAATAGTTAGTCATTGCACAATGTGGCTGTTACTGTGTACAATGTTCTCCTGGTTCTGCTCACTTCACTCAGCATCAGTTCATGTAAGTTTTTCCAGGTTTTTTAGAATTGTTTTCATTTGGAATTCTATGATGATTAAAACTTACAGAAGCAAATAGTCACAAGGTTAGGGGCTCTCAGGAGTCATGCATGAGGTTTTGGCCCTTCTCTGCCAGCTGCCCAGTGATCACCCTCTCTCTCTTGCTCCTTATTCTCAGTGGCTTTGGGAAATGCTGATGGTGCTAATGGCAAGGTGCCAAACTTCTTGCTGCAGGGGACTGGCCATGGTGACCTGTTCCTACTTGGGAAAGTTGTTACTGTGGCTCTGATGACTTCATCTGATTCCTGGGAACTTGGATTTAGCATGTAGGGCCCCCACTCATTGTTCCTGAAAGGCTGAGAATAGTCATGCAGCTTTGACCAGAGCAGCATAAATCTGAGTCCCATGCTGTGTGCGATGGTCAAAAGAACTGCCCATGGGGTGAAGTTCCAGGTTCAAGTCCTGGCTCCAACATTTCTTAGCTGTATGATCCTGGGTGAGTCTCTGGGCCTCATTTTCCTCCTTTGTCATGTGGGGATTATAATACTTGAAATACCTACCCCCTGTAGAGTTGTTGTGAGGAAGAAATACCCTTTGTAAACCTTAAAGCAGAATAGAAATAGGGAATATTATCTTCCAGTATCTCTGTCTCTGGCCTTCCTGTGTCCTCCAGTTCTCATTATTGCATCTTTCTCAAGACATTGTTGAGTCTGAAAAAGTTTCTTGTTTCCACAGTCTGCAACTTTATGTCCCATGAGAAATGCGTGAAACATGTGAAGATCCCATGTGCCTGTATTGCTCCAAGCCTGGTCAGGGTGAGTAGTGAGACCCGTTACCTATACATGGGTGGGGTTAATTTTTTCTTTTTGTGGTGATGATGAAATCATTGGTTATTCTAATAACTTTTACTTTGCTAAATTATGTGTATATACATATATGTATGTATCTATATATCTTTATTATACCACAAGCTTAAATCCAAGTATCATTGGACCAGAATGCTTTTGGGGTCTGAGTGCCAGTTCATCATGGTGCCTAGAAATTTCATCATGGTACCTTGTATTCATTTATTATTGAATTATTATTATTGAAGAATTGCATTCAATTATTGTTGAAATCAAATAAAACTTGAATTGCGGGCTTAAATTTTGTTAATAGGATTCTATTTGAGCATTGATGGGTCTGGATTGGCTCGTGCTTCTCCTGGGTTTTGGGGGTGGGGGAATGGAAGGGGAAGTGTCCCATTCAGAAGAATTGGGTGAGGCTGTATGTCTTTCTTTCCATTTCTCAGTCATGGTCCTATCAGAAGATCTAGAAGGGAATTAAGAGCATTATGGGCCCCTTTGGCAGTCTGGTAAAAACCCACGCCCCCTTTCTCAGAATCATGTTTTTAACACATAAAACAAAATACATGGGATTACAAAGGGAACTAATGATATTGAAATGTATAGATAATATGAAAAAAAATGGAAACAAACTTTTTTTGAAAAGTTCATGGATTCCTAGATTAAGAATGCCTGATTAGTTTCACAATAAGGAGCTGAAGAAGGAAAGTGACTTATCCAAGTTCTATTTAGCTATTTAATAGCAAGAGTGGGAGTAGAGCTCATGTCTCCTGAAGGCTCATCCAGATCACACGGTATCTCAGCTGGGAGACACCCTCACGGGCCTCTAGTTCAGTCTGTACCCCAATGTTCTGCATTCCTGACCAGTGGTTATCCAGACCCCCCAGTGACGGCGAAATCATAGCCTCTGGAGAGAGCTCGTTGTATTTCTGGACAGCTCCAAACTTAGAACAGAACCTAAGTTAGTTTCTTGGCAACCTGCAGCCTTGACTCCTCATTCTGTTTGTTCTCTTGTTGACTCAGGGGCAGAGAGGCCACCCTCAGTCTTCTGTGGCTGCAGGTCTTCAAGCAGGGACTGGAGGGCCACTTGCTGAGAACGTAGTTTTGAGCAGTGAGCAGGAGTCTGGACTAGACGAACTTCAAGGTCCTTTGCAAGGCTCAGATTGTGAGCGTCAATATCCTGTCACCCCATCCAGGCTCCCTCCAGCCTATTAGCTTCTTCCTGGGACCTTAGACCAATGTTTGCACATAGTAGATGTTTAATAAATTATTGGTAGAATAGTACTTAATACCATTGAGTCAAGTAGGGAAAATGGAGCAAGGCCCATTAATGGTGGTTTCTCCTGCTCCCTGAATACCCTTCCTGTAGTCCAGAACTCCCAACGCAGCTTTCGTTTTGTTTTCTAATGGGTTTTTATTACTAATGACTATATGAAAGTGTCTCCATGACCAAAGAATTCACTTAGTTTTTAATTTCCTGATGCTAAAGCTCCCTATTCTTAGCTAGGCTGGCTTCATGCAAAAAACATAGTCTGTCAGAGGGAATATCCTGAAAACTTCTTTTTCTCACTCTCCCTTCCTCCCTTCTTTCATCCTTCCCTTCCTTTTTTCCTTCCCTCCCTCCTTTCCTTCTCTCTTTTCTTTCCTTCTCTCCCTCTCCAAGGACATAGTAAACATTTAGTAAATGCTTTTTCATCCATCTATTCATTTATTTCTTTCTCTCATTTTACCTTGTACTCTTCTACTCTCTCTCTCCCCTCTCTTTGTCTCCCTTTCTTTAAGTAAAATAAATGTTTTTTTATGCCCTTTTTACGTATCTCTGCCACTCCCTGACATGCCTTCCCCCCAATCAAAACCCTGCCATGTAACATAGAATGCCAGTTTAGCCAAACACACATTGTCTGTGTCTGAGAACCAGAACCCCATTTCTGCCTTATAGTCAGTTCGCCTGCCTCTCTCTTGGAGAAAGAAGACATGCTTCATTATCAGTGCTAGTTGGTCACCACACCGCTCAAGAATTCTGCAGTTTTTTATTATTTCATTTTCCTTTTCATTATTGTAGTCATCCCGTAAATAGTTCTTCTGGTTCTGGTTACTTTGTTCTGTATCAGTTCGTGTAAGTCTTCTCAGGTTTCTTTGAATTCTTATTTGTTGTTTTTTGCTGCACATATTGGAATATAATATAATGGAATGCTCATTATATTACTGCACATAATGGAATGTAATATTCCATTACATTCACGTATCATCATTTGTTTAGCCATCCTCAAGTGATGGGCTACCATTTTTTTGAGGTTTTTCTTT